TTTATTGGTTGAATTTGTGTTTATTGGTTGAATTTATGTTTATTGGTTGAATTTGTGTTTATTGGTTGAATTTATGTTTATTGGTTGAATTTGTGTTTATTGGTTGAATTTGTGTTTATTGGATGAATTTGTGTTTATTGGTTGAATTTGTGTTAATCCACCTGTCTCGTTGGATCCTCTTTTACTAGGATTGAGCAAGGGAAGTATCCCCGTTCACCGAAGTATGAACAAATTATTACTTTTTAAGTGAACAAGTACAGTGGATGCAAAAAGTATCCGACATAAAGGAATAACTCTATTTAATTAAAGCTTATTCAACAAAATAACATAAACAAACACTATTCTGATGAATATTTATATGGAAAATGCAAATATCATATCAAAACAACAATATCATTAAAAGTTGACTTGATAATTGAAATTTGTAAAAGTTAAGGTTCAAAGTATATAAAGTTTTTCTTTGCGTCGGATACTTTTTGCACCCACTGTAACTGATCGACATAACATACTGCGTAAGTTGACTGTCATCTAGAAACGCACGGTGAAAATAATTCGCAATTTTACACATTCCAGATTATGAAAAATGAAATAGCATGAAATGTCGGTGATACAGTTAATGTGTACTTTGGTGTGATATTAATATCTTTAATCAAATGTTTGGATGTTTAAATGCTTGTTTCAGAATATAATTAATTTATAACTGTACTCACCGGCCGGCAGTCTGTCCTCTCCATCCCTCGCGGCTGCAAAAACAAACGAACGTTACACTCACAGAAATGATTATTGACACTTAGTCTAAATAGCGACTCATTTATGCCCTGGTATGGGTCATTCTGACTCAGTTTTGCTAAGCGTATCAGTGCTACGTACCGAAAGTGAATCATTATTTCGAGACTGGATACAGGATAAAAGAATCGCGAACAACTGAGTTTGGAAGTAACGTTCTTTAAAATGGATTAAAAGTGATTTTCGATACATCAAAAGTTGGTCGAGTTCAAAATAAATTTTAACTGCGGCCGTCTGATCATCGTTATTATTTTTAGTATTATGATAAATTAACGTACGGAAAATAGCATTTGCTCTCTAATCCTTTTGTGTGTTAATTTCGAATTGTGTGGAAAATATATATAAGTCATTACTTCGCATAATTCCTTGTAAATTGAATTAAATGAGTTACGCGTCTACATTTTAATTTTATTTGAATTTGATAAGAATTTCGAGGAGCTTTGCATGTCGTGGTGGTGCAATTCAAGTAATTTAATTGTTTCTGACTCAACTTAAGTCTTTACAATCAAAATCAAACACAAATTCACCAAGGTCTAATTTTAGAGAAGATGTATAATGACCGAGAATTCACACAGAAATGCATTCTGTTTCCATTAATTTTAATCCGATTTAAAATCTCTAAATTTCTGGTGTGTAAGCGCAAAAATCTTTAAGTTCATTCAAATTTAAAGACTGACAATAGCAAATAAGTCGCCACAGTACCAAAGTCGCCACACTCCTATGGGAACCATATAATGCATAACCGAAATCTTATAAAAACTTTCATTAAAAAATATGAGTATTCATTTTCTACAGAAAAAGAAAACAGACGACTTTAGTGTCGTTGTCAACAGAACTCATGTTTTCTTTATTGTGAATAAAAAAATATCCAAAAAATATTACGTTTCATGGTGATGAAATTGAACAAATTTATAGCCTTAAGCCATCAAAATGATCGAATTGTAAAATAATAGCCATTGAATATTAAATTCATGATAGTAAAATTGAAGTAATTGATGCTTATAAGTAATCGATATGATTGAATTATGAAGTAATATCCAAACAATTTTAATTTTCATGGTAGTAAAATTGAAATAATCGATGGTTATAAGTAATCGAAATTACTGAATTATGAAGTAATATCCCAAAAATCTTACATTTCATGGTAGTAAAATTGAATTAATCGATGGTTATAAGTAAGTAATCGAAATGGTTGAATAATGAAGTAATGTCCAGAAATCTCACATTTCATTGTAGTACAATTGAACTAATTGATGGTTATAAGTATATATGACTATATAAGTATATAGGAAGTATATATGACTATATAAGTATATATGACTATATAAGTATATATGACTGAATTATAAAGCAATATCCAAGTAATCGTACGTTTCATGGTGATGAAGTTGAATGAGTTGATTGCTCTAAGCGCCTGCTGATGGTCGAGGTCCAGAGGGAGGTAGGGGCTGAGCTCAGACGCGGGGTGTGACGTGAGCTCGCGGTCCCATGCCAGGTCCAGGTCACTCACACGGCCCGTCAGGTGAGGGCCCATCTCAATAATTAAATAATTTTAATTATATAATATATAGAGAGGAATTATAAACTAAATAATCAATTAAAGAGAAGTTAAAATATGCTACAAAATATGTATAAACTATCGCATACATGTGGTCCTACCTGAACAATTATTCATTAAGAAATTACGAACAAATCCATCAATTAAAGTGAGGAGAGTCTATTCATTTTGTATTAAATAAATTTCTTGAACTGATGATGGAGCTGGTCTGCGAAAAGTTGTCATTAAAGGTATGGTACATGAAAGTACTTGGCGATATCTTTGATTTTAAATTACTGGTGAACCTGTTATTTAAGCAAACTTATGATATAAGCGAGAAAAAAATATGCTCCGAAATATGCACTCATTGTCGTGTAAACAAAATAGCATCATATCATTATGATATTCATATCATCGTGTATTTGGGTCGGCATCAGGATATTATGAGATACACATCATCATAACTTGAAATACAATACATGTTGAAATACATGTATACGTGTGGTGCATCGATAACAATACAAATTATTCTTCTTACATAAACATGAATGGAATAAAGAGTTTAATAAAATTAATGAAATAGAATTTAAAGCACTAAAGAAACCATGAAATCTTATTCAAATTTATTATTCTTGGTTCAGTGGAGACTTAATTCATTATTGAAGAATAGATCCACTACTGGAGATTGTGCACATGCACACAGTGGCTAGTCTTGACGAAAGTCTTAAATTTAAACATAATGGTGAATTATATTTCAAAACTAACATACATAAACGATTGAAAAAAATTAAAATCTAGTTCATTAAGTTTTTAATTTAATTAAAAGTAACAAAATGAGAGAAAATGTATCCAATAAAATTCATGAACATAGCATTATTTGGATTAAGTTATTATTGTCCATATCAGAGATAGCTAATTACCTGCAGGAAGGCAGCGCTGTCAGGTTCCTTGATAGCCTCAATACAGAACTGCACCAGCGCCGTCGTCTGCTGCAGACGCCGCGTGCACGAGCTGGCGCTGTCTCTGCGCAGCGAACAACCGCGTCAACTTTACACACTTTCAGACCGCTTGTGGTTACCCGTTAACGATAATTAAAAAAATTGCTAAATACTCTCAGATCACTCATTTGGTTAGAAAATATTGCGGTATTACATTTTTCATGACTATTGAATCACCATTCCTACTTCCGTCATTACCGTTCTTGTCATTCCTATTTTCAAGTCACTATTTTTCGTCGTGTATACTGCGGTCAAGTCGTTACCAAGTATAAACGCTCTTAGATTAAAGAAAAAATAATAAATCCATCACAAATCATGATGAATAATGCTTATACATTAGTTTTAACGGCATAAAAAATAGCGAAATAAACTACCTAGAATGGTAATAGCCAATTGTCAACTATATATGTGCATCATACCAGTTGATTTTGTCTGCACACAACTGAACAATTAATCCGCCTAGTTTCGATTCGAACGTAAAAGGCCTAAATAAGTAGTAATTTCCGTGTGCATCAATTATATATCAGAGGGAACGAGAATCAGCCATCTGAAAAGAAATAAATAACGAAGACAGGATCACCGAAGAGCGACTGGAAGTAAAGAAGTGAAAGTGTGCGGAGGAGCGTGGGTGGACATCCGGTTATGAGATGCAGCGTTTGGACCATTCAAGATTGATCCGAGATTTATGCTTCATTCAGAGCTAATTAGCGAGAGTTGACCAAATGTCAATGCACTTTTTGCCTTTGTGTATGGCCGTACTCACCCAGTTTGGAACGGCAGAATGCCGTATTAGTGCTTCGGGCAGAAAGTCTTTCGCTTTTTGCACAATGTGACCCACATATTTTTCAGAGTGATGCAGTTCCAGAACTCATACGCACAAGCGACTTCAAAGGGCATCGTGAGAAAGTGCGAATTTGTGTTATTTTTCGTTATAAATTGTTTCCAGTTGACAGCTTTGCTCTTCTCCTTTTGAATTTGTGCACAAATTTGCAACAGGACAAGCAGTTGAAAATAGATTTGCATGGTATCCTTTACTGAGACGTAGATTTCATCTACAATGAATTTGTATCATAAAGCAGATAAATAAATTTTAATTGCTCGTGAGAAAATTGATCATTCGTTTGTGCCGCCACGCGTGATTGGTAAGTTTCGAAAAACGCAGAAAAATAACAAACCTGTCCCAAATATCAGCCGCGTATTTAAAAGACAATATCATGAAACAGGAAGAATTTTCTTGGCAATATCTATCATTTGCTTTTCGGATACCTGGATTATAACCAAGAAAATTATGTTGGTTTGACAGTTCAGACAATTTTGTTCAGGTTCACTGAGAACTTCAAGAAAACTTCCTATCATTTGCATAAGGCCTTCAAATTTTTTTAATCACGGGATAATAAAATGGAAGGGCTCTCAGACCCGCCTGCTTCTGCGGCCACATTGATTATATTGACTTATTAGTTATTACATTTATTGACTTATTACATTTAATACTTCGTTTAGCATCCCATCATTTTGGGCTTGAGTGCGCGCCATGCACTGTAAGTATGCGCTGCAGTGACTGCGCTAAATAACTGTAGGTGCGGGTTGTGGCCTCACGCTGTGCCTGCAGTTGGCTGTGCAGTCATAATGCTGTGGCCTCACGCTGTGCCTGCAGTTGGCTGTGCAGTCTCTCCCTGACGCAGGCCACAGCCTCGGCCAGTTCAGCACACTGCCTCTCCAGCGCCGCGGCAAGGGCGTCGCAGTGGCTCTGGTGAGCAGACACATGTGGTTAAGGGTGGGACGAAACCTCCCCCTTCCATTGTGATATTTACCTCCCGAGAGAGGGAGGTAAGTAGCACGATGGCAAAGAGGAGGGTTAGCACATAAAATCAAATATTATTCGTATCTTAACTCCTGGTAACGAGAGCTACAACCAGTACCCGAGTTGGATTTAGAGTCGCCCCAGCTTCTGATTCGAGTAATCAGAAGCTGAGGCGGCCTTCAATTTTGCATGGGTAGTGCAATACTTCTGGTCGGTCCTTCTCAACGTCAGCTACAAATACATGAATATAGATCACTCTTTTTGAATTACTTCTTTATTTAAACAAGTAGCATTTACTTTCTAAAGATTTTGTGTCACAATTGTGGTCTTTAGAGGGAGACTTCAGATGAGAACATGTGGTTTGAGTTAACAACCCTAATACATGAAATAAATAGTTTGTGGTTATCTCCTTCCCGCGTTATAGTTACTACCGGAATCGCTGTCGGTATACCCGCTATTTTGTCATTTAGCGAAAAATTCCTGACAGGTGGACTAAATTTTGAATATATCTGGAACGATGTCCGTTCAAGAATGAACGGACAAATGCTATGATGGGAACACGTTAATAGAAGGCCATGAAAATTAATACATAAAGCATTCAGGCATAACATTTTATAGTTGGAACGGTCAATCACAGTTACATGAAATCAGCGAAAATCTTTTGTTCTTTGCGTCTTGAGTTTTAAACGCTGCAAGCCTGCTTTATGGATACATTTTTAGAAATTGAAGTTTTATAATTGGGTTGTCTGGATTTTATTAAATCCAGAGTAGCTTGGTAAGTCAGCATGGAAAAGTTTTATCTGTTACTATATAATAAATGGTAATTATGAAAACGATAGTAGCTTGATGAGTGTACAATACTCACCGTGACTCGGTTCTGCAGCCACGGTACTCACACTGCGTGATGTGATGGTGAGCAGACTTGGCGCGGCCGCTCAGCTGCTGCAGACACGCAGACAGCTCTGCCTGCAGCAGACAACGTCGTATTACTTACGATAATATTCACTAGAAAAATAAGAAAGAAAAACTTTACAGAGAATAACAAAATAACGAAATGAGAAATAATTGAGTGGATGAATATATTATTATGAATATTATTAATAATTAACAAGATATAATGAAGGAAACGGTTAGCAAAACTTTGCGAATGTTTGCAGAAGAAAATACTTGCGGGTTCTGCGGCTAAAACCACGCTATTTTCATGCGGTATATTTACTCGTTAAGTGAAGAACGAAAAAAGTAGCCGTTAAAGTGAACCACGACCAAAAATATGGACATTCGGAATTCCTAGGACGTACAACTTTTTTAATTCGCCCACATTTCTTAGGAACAGAAAAAATTCTCCGATTTCGTTGTGTCTATAATTCCTGACCTCCCAAACCACGGCATGCCTCCTAGGGAAAGAATCTGTAAAGGATCCCTGAGAAAAGATGACCTCATAACGCGCTGATGGAACATAGGGCCATGTTATATATTAGACGGCTCTCCATATGGTAACATGGCACGCACTGCACATGGACGGATACAGCTCTATATTTTTGCGTTACTCCAATCAAAGGAAGTTTGTGAGAAAAAAATACGATGAAAAGATCAATGCGGGCTTATTAGACTTATTGCAAATATGATATCGCCCTAACCAAGTGGAAAATAATGATGGAACCACATTGTTCAACCATTAATTATTTCACAGTGCGGTGCTCATAATGAGTAAATTATTTACAAAATATATTAATGGATAAACTTGGTCAACGTTGCATCCCTCCCAACTTGTCGAGTCTAGGAGCGTGAGTTTGCTAGCCAGTGCAGAGATATACAATAAGCAAGATCTCTAATTTTACAATTCATTTTAAGGCCAGAAGATGGATCATAAATAAAATATCTAATTTTATAATTGATATTTAGGCCAAAAGATGGACAAGAACCCAAATCTATAATTTTACAATTGATATTAAGGCCAATATCCTGCAGCGCTCGTTGTTCAAAGCTTAATATTCCTCGCGTCCAAACCGGCCGACGAAATTACCCAAATATCGATAAGCTCGCTGCAGTGTTTAAAAAACTCACTCAGAGAAATTACTGAGACTTTGTCCAAAATTGCGATGGACTTATCACCCTTTTGTGCGTCATGTAGACCTAGTTTAGCCTGGCAAAAAAGCATATCAGAGCTACGTCCGCTCTCTGCTCGTGCTACTAGTAAGAAAGTGTGTCACTATTTACAGAAAATATAACCCATTCATTGTTATGAGTGCACGGCGAAGGCACTTAAGCTATAATGTACAGCAAACGCGTGTAATGAATGCTTGAGCTATAGACGGACATCACAGATCACCGTATCGCGTGATGATGCGAGGGATGCGTGATATATTTGGTGGTGATGCACCGTAGAAACGACCTGCAGGAATAACGAACAGCCATCGGCTGTGCCTACGTAAAGGAGCTACGATATCTTATAACTATGAAGACCTGGAGCCATAACATTAAAACGCGTACAAAAAAGTACACGTTCAAAACTCATTACAAGTGTACGCAGTGCCCGATTTCTCGTCTGTGATTGGTGGGATTAACATGAAAAGCCGTCAGAGATTAGCTGACGTCGTTACGAACGTGTAACTATTTTTGATAGTACGGCCCCTGATGGCTGCGGCTAAGAGGTAAAACAGACCAATAATGTCGCTTTACACTGAATATATTTACGAACTCTTGCATGCAAAAGGCTTGAAAAAAATGTTCAAGAATGTTTATTTTATATATACGAGCACTCGCACTAACTTTTATTAAAAAAAAATACTCGCACTAACTTTTATTTAAAAAAGCAAGAGTTTTGTTAAACTCGTACTTCTAGAGCATAATTTCCGAGATGATAGTTGATGTTTAGCGTAAACGTACAAATCACTAGTGTTCAAAAATTCTATCATAAATTATGATTTATTGAATTTATTTTACAACGGTTCGGACGATTTCATACAGAGATATGCATTTTTGACGGCAACGTTTACAAGGAAATCACTAATTTATTCAAATTCACCTGGATGATTTGAAAATATTTTTCGTTCGCTGGATTGATGAAGGGGATGATGCGATGAAGAAAAATTAAATAAATTATATTAAAGTAATAACAACTGTAACAAAATATTCATATAATATCATTTGAGGGCCACAACTAATTTGGGCGAACGTGCGTATGCTCAATAATTCAATAATTGAACATTGAAGTGGAGATGAAAGTGTTATGTTCTGGTAAAGAAAACTAGATTACCATTAATATACCTAAGATGTTTCATTATATTCAAGTCAAGAATATTCCATTATAAAAATTATTATAATGAAAATTCGGCACATTAGAATTAAATTTTTTACACTGAACTTTCATAAATAGCAATGAGTGTGCAGTAATGAATGAATGATCGAATGCACAAGTTCTCTTTGTGAAAATACGCTTTATTTTATCAGTCAACTTCACTTCGAAATTAATATTTATCAACTGTTGTAATAATTTTCATCTTATTTATTAACTGTTGTATTAATTTTTGTCTCTTTTGTTAACTGTTGTACTTATTTTTATCTTATTTATTAACTGTTGAGGCCGCTAAATTGACAATTGGGTCCGACGTTTGATATCTCCAGTGACGTCAATCTTGCTGGCGACAGCCAAATGCACGTTGCATTTGTTAGTGGCTCCTGAACATACGAATTCATACTTCATTTGAACTGTCAAGGTTATCAGTTCATCCGATGATTCGGAAAGAGCCTAGTTTTTATTTTCATACCCGATATCTATTTTTCGCTGATTTTACACAACTACCAAGGAATTTTATTATTATGGAATAGCGCTCAAACCTGTTCAACTCGTAATGTTTGATTTTCTTTCAGAAACGTTACGAACTTTAATTAAACCTTACAACATTAATAAATAAACTTTCTAAATCGCATCATCTTTCGACCATCGCTCAAAGAAACCCACGGTTTCTTTGTATTAACTACCAGATTTTTTGACCGCCTCCTAAGCCAGCTTGGCCTTGGTTGCTCAGGCGGTAGCCATGATACCGTTCTGACAAAAAACTGACAGCTGAAGAAAGGAGCCAGCTTTTTCCCTGAGACAACATGTTATTTAATATAATATACTATGTACGGGAAATATATAGTCGTTTAAGTGAATTTTTCAAGAGAAATTGTTTCCGAGCAAGTCATGAACTTCAACGAATAAATAGAAGTAAAAAATTAAAGGATTACGAGACAAAAAACTTACAAAAACTGATCGTACAAATTCAAAGCTGGGAATGGTACAAGATTTAAGATTTCTGGAAGATTTAAGATTTTTTGTGGTAGAAAAAAAACGTGTAAAAATATCAGGTTAACATGGGCAGCACTCACAAAAACCGAGGGAAGAAAATATTTTCATATTTTCTAATGAAACATCGTACGCATTAATTTTGGGCATTAACAAACCCTAAGGAAATATAAACGGAAAATATTCACAAGTAAAGATCAACACAAATTTTTCGTATCATTTCGCTAATTTTCACATTCCTGTCACCTGAAATCTTCGTCTGATGAAACATTTTTCTCACTGTCGGATCGAGGAACTGTTTCCTTGTGTACTGAATACTTTTTCTACAATTGCATGAATTATTAAAAACAATATAACAATGGATTTCAATTGTTTAATTGGTAAATTTGTTCAATGCGGTTGTTTGCACACAAAGTATTAATCAATTCAAGTTAAGTCATGCTATCGAACAAATGCTATCGAACGTCCTGATAAACATTTATGATATGTATGAGATTTTTCTTTTTCGTTGGGAATACTTACATGAATTTGAGTCAAAAATTATTCCTATACACCAAAAAAAAATCCTTCATAGAGAAGAGGATGAAATATAATGAATGCGAGCCGAAGCAAGAAAGGGAGAGAGGATCGCTTTGGTGTTCCCCTCTCCTATAACTCGATAAGTGGGTCAAGCTTTCCCTCACGCTCCCCTCACTATTACCCTCACCATCCCTCACCATTGTCCTTGAGTGTACAGTCACCATCAAAACTACGCCAATGAGCGTCACCACCGACATGCACCTCTTGCCGACACTACACGTAGGGAAATGAGCGAAACTTTGTCCAAATAGCGCTAACATTTTTCAATATCAATACAGAATAAGAATCAATATACAATAATTCAACACGATCAATCAAGATTAACTGTTGAATATCTGAAGAAATAGTCAAGTCGTTTGACCTGAAATATATTGCGCCATGAATATTGTGCCGTCTAAACTTAATATTTCCGATCACAAATATCTGACCGCGATAGAAGCAAGGCATTTCTCTTGACTCAGGCATTTCATTGCGTCGCTTGCATTCATACCGAAAATGTTCAATTACTAGAAATAAAAACTCATGCAAAGACTCATGTCAATATTTATATTCTCAGGAGCATACTTTTCAAGACGCATTTTATTCTTTGTGTAGCATACGAGGATGAAAACGAAGCTACGTATCGAGGCACGAGGCTACGTATCGAGGCACGAGGCTACGTAACGAGGCACGAGGCTACGTATCGGGGCACGAGGCAAAATATCGAGGCACGAGGCTACATATCGAGACAGGAGGCTACATATCGAGACAGGAGGCTACATATCGAGGCACGAAGCTACATATCGAGTCACGAGGCTACGTACCGAGGCACGAGGCTACGTACCGAGGCACGAGACTACGTATCGAGGCACGAGACTTGTCCTGTCACGCCGCATCTGTCATGAAGACAGGACCAGCACGGCGGGGGGGGGAGGGGTATCACCGACGCCCTTTAGGCCTACACAGCGACCGGGCCTATCGATTGGGCGGCCGCCCCTCGCGCACGATAGTCCCTACGATCGTGACACTCGTTAGGGAGGTACGTGTGAGGGAGGTACGTGTGAGGGAGGCACGTGTGAGGGAGGCACGTGTGAGGGAGGCACGTGTGAGGGAGGCACGT